TTCCCTTCAGACTGCATGAACTCTGCAACTGCAACTAATTCAGCTACATCTCATAAATTAGTGAAATATGACTTTTAAAGTTATATATATATATTTAACTACTTTAATAGTTATTTATTTTTTATTTGTGTATTACATTTCTTAATATGGGTCCTGAGATCAAATTTCTTACCACAAACAAGCAAATGTGGTATGACAATAAGAACTCCTTCAAACCTAGCATTCCCTTCCCAACAGAACTTATCATCACATGGCCACAATAACAGATATAAACAGAAGTTACAGCAGTTAGAAACAGCTCACCTCTCTGATGGTGGAGATCCAGGAGATTTAAAGTCAATGATATGACCCTTTGACCTGTCGCTCTTAAAGGACACACAGCTGGGTTCTAGTTCTGGTTCTGGTTCTGGTTTGCGTCTCTGATGGATCCTGACAGAAACATGATGACTAAAACTTAATCAGCAAAGAGGAGCAGCAGCAGCTTCATCACCACGTTTGTTCTGGCCTGATATAGTGAACGCTGTGTGAAAAGGGCTGTGGACAGTTAGAGATGGTGACCTCACCTCTGACCTTTGCTCTGGCTCTCATCTTCCCCACACAGAGTGGTTTTAGAGGGAGGGACTCCCTCCTCTCTGTCCTCACACTGATCCATGCTGCTGAATCCACATCAGCTCACACACACTTTCTAGCTTCACCTGCAGAGGAAACACACATCATTCATCTGCACATCAACTCTGATCATCCTTTACATCATTAGTGCTGGAAAAAGATCAGCTGCTCCTCCTCTGATTGGCTCTTCTTCTCTGCTTCATATCAGTGTCAGGTGAATGCAGTCAGACAGCAGAGAGGCAGAGGAAGCTGCCATCAGCTGCTGCACTTCTACTATCAGTCCACTAGATGGAGACATGGAGCAACATTTACATTCACTGATTCAACCTGAACAACAGGAAGGATTGTATTGCACAATTACACTCTACAGTGATTCACTGCTGCATCAAATATTTACTTTTAACAATCAGACAGAAGTTAACACATTTCAATAATAAGATTTTGAAATAATATTTTATCTTGAAAGGAAGAAACAAACAACTCTTGGCTTTGATTTTAATGCTGGACCAGGGCTTGATGCCAGGAAACAAAGACATGAAGCAGTTTCTTCAGAGAAGAAAACAGGAAACATCAGCTGTTCATCATGTTGTTTGATTCCAGTTCACCAATTAATCTAATAATCCTGTAGATTAGCCTTCAAGTAGCAGAGAGATAATATTTGGAGGTGAAAACAGAAGTGAACCTGTTCCCCAAACATCAGAGAGCAGAAACAATCTGTTTCTGAAGAGAAAGTTCAAGTAGGCAAATGATCAAACTTACGATTTAAGAAGATCCAAAGAGTTGATGAAGATGAACTCTTTACTCTTGTAAAGAGTGAACCTCTTTACTGTGATTCTGTTGCTTCTAAACCCAACAGAACCACAGTAAAACCAGTCAGACCTGAACAGGTGTGTTTGATCTGAAAGTGTAAAGAGGAGAAATGAGCCCAAACTGGTCTGACTTGTCAGACTGACTGGGAGTCTGTTGGGTTTATTTAGTTCCCCAACCTGCAAGAATCAACCAAAGACACAAATTACTTTTCCGTAGAAAAGGGGAGAAGAGCTCAACGTAGAGAATCGCTGCCAAACGCTGTCTGAGATCAACTCCATCGGCTCTCAGTCCCCAACTGCCTTTTATTATTATGTGAATACACAAAGAGGTTGGCTTTCTCACTCAGACATGCAAACAATTGACCAATACTCTATCCTACAGGATGTTCTGGAAGTCTTTTGTTGATGTCCCATCATTGGGACACAATGATGACCACTCTCAGGATACAGATAAAGATCATTGTGGCTCGTTAATACAGAAATGTGTGAGACATGTCCAACCTTCAAGAGAAAACCCTAAAAGACAGTTTAGAATATACAATAAAGGAAAGGGAAAGAAAACACACGGAATAATATGAAAACATAACCATTCAAATAAAAGTAAATGAACTAAGATAATAATTTCCAAACAGAGTCAGAGGAAAGTTTACCTGTTAACATCATTTGGATTTTGAAACAAACTCATATTTTCAGATTTTAGTGCAACACAATAAAACTGATCTCAGAGCAGCTTCTGGTTCAGGAACAATGGACCTGGAATGTTGACTTTTGCTCTTTTCCAGTATCAGGAAGATTCCAGCTACAGAGATCACATTACATCAAAACTGCAGCAGCAGATCAGGAAATAAAGATGATCTGCCTACTTTTGACTATGACTGTAGAGATGATTGATGGAAAAAAAATAATTAATAATGTTTTTGTTCATTTAGCAAGTCATAGAGAAAAACCATGTTGATTTTCTGTGATATTTTTTACCATGATATTCATAAATTTATAAATGTCAGATATTTAAACGATTTTTCTCTAACTGAATATTTATTTTCAAAACTAAAGATTTGTTTTTGTAAGTATTTTTTATCTCAAAACTACATATTTAATTATCTTTTTCATGTCTAGTTGTTCAGTCAGACGCTCCATCATGTTGTCATGTTTCAGTTTTTCCTCCATTCAGCAACAGTTGGTGAACTGGGTTTAATCCAGTTTAGTCTAATTGTCTTTCTTGCTACCAGCAGCAGAAGGTGCAACAATATGTAACATTGATGTTTAGTGAGTAAATCCTTGGTGTTTATGTCCAGCAGAAACAGAAGAGGCTCCATGGGGAGATCTGTCCTCAGAATGTCCTCAGTCTCCTGTTTCATTTCCTCCCAGAAAGTCTTTATTTGTGGTCAGAACCAGAAGACGTGTGTGATGACCGACCATTCAACACATTCCTCCAACATCCATCTGTGGTTGGAATCCTGGAAATGAACGTTGTGAAAGGAGTAACACTTTATTTGACACAGTGTGTTCTATTAAATCTGGTTTTTACTTTCCAGTCAAACTCTTTGCACGTTTGATTTCCAATCCTTTTATGGCACAAAAATGCAAATGAGAAAACTCCACTCTTTGTTTTATCAAGCTCCAGTTCAATCCAGTAAATTTATGTTCTCAATTTGACAAACAATCCACAAATGGAGTAAAACTGGACCATATTGATAGTTTTGGCCTCATTCCTCTTCAGAGATACCACTGCAAACTCGTATCAATGGCTCCTCAGAATGACCAGTGGGACGCTCTGCTGGATGGAGACTGAACTACAACACTAAAAGAAGTTTTAAACTCACTTTTCAGTTGCTAATTGAACAAATTTTATTCTGTAAGATAATAAATTGCATGGTTACACAAAACCAATAAAAAAGTTAACTATTGCCACATTATGGAGTAATCAATCATGGTGAATATCTGCCACAAAAATTCATTCTTGAACAAGATGACTTTTTTCAGAAGACAGTATTACATTTTAATAAAAAGTGGAGTGGAAAGAAAAACGGATGGAAAAAAAAGATGCACATATGAAATTCACCATTTCTGGAACAATGACATTCCAACATATTAAGATGCACTTTTATGGTTAGTTCACAATGGAAAAATATGAATTGATTTCAACTGAACATTAATAGCACATATTTTTCCTCATAAAGTGAAATAAGATAATATCTATTGTAAATTTGCCCAGTATAAATACACTGATTTCACTGTGAAAATGACTTTTCAGTCTGGTGCAAGAAAAACAAGACATTCCATCCAAGTCTTAAATACTTTATACAAAATATTGAGTGGAAATCATACAGAGTGAGACAGATTTAAAGAGACGTGACAGTCCAATGAAAACTCCAGATAAATGCAGTGATTTACAAAAATGTGCAATAATTAAAAAAACTTAAAGTGAAAACTTAACTTGGCACAAGGAAATATTTGCTCCCATCAACAGAAACATTGAATTACTGAGGGAAGGTAAGAGGCTGGATCTGTAGTTTAATTTCATCCATTAAAAAGCTGCTGAAACAAAAAGAGTTCAAAATAAATCGCTGTCTACAGAAAATACAAAGAAATGGTAAATAAAAAAACATGGGATTGATACTCAGCATGACAGATTACATCTTACATAAAATCACTAAAATGAAAAATACAAAATGTTAAGGACATCAATCTGGAGAAAGAATATGCAAATTATAACAATTACAAGGTAAAGAGATTAAAAATAAACAAAAAAAAAAAATCATTTTTATAATTAAGGCCACTCGTATGAAGCGCAGAATAAAAAACAAAAAAGGAGAGAAATGTAAACTTGTAATTATTCCAACTCAAGTCCTGCTGTGCAACTCAGTTTGTAACAAAACCCCAAAAAACTCAAAAATGTCAAAAAATGAAGCAGAAATCAGATCAAATCTTTAAAAGGGAAATAAATATACAAAAATATAAATAAAATGGTCATGACATGCAGAAAACAGAGAGAAATAAAAATTACTACCAATAGAGGATGAAATGAAGCGATGAGTTAAATTCAAACATTTTTCATGTGAAAACGAGGATTAGCATCGTTTCTGCATGACAAGGCATTTTCCTGCTCAAACTGTTAGAAAACAAATTGTGATTTGTAGTTTTTCTTTGCTAAGTGAAGTGAAATATTTGACTTGTGTTCATTAAAAACAGGGATTTCTTTCCTTTTACATGAACACACATTCACAGCTTGCAGAGTGTAAGGCTTGAACCACTTGGCCACACTTTGGGAGGGGTGGGTTGGATTTATTGCACAAGAACACTCGGGGCGGGTGGGTTCTTATCCGGCCCTTTGACAGGTTCTGGATGGGTTCTGTCTCCTCAGTAGAGGCGGACGAGACTTAAAAAAAATGTGAAGTTGAAGAACACTGGAAGCTGGTGAGGTTTTACACAGCAGCCAAGACAGGTCAGAGGTCAAAGCAGTGCCACTGCATCAAGCAGAGCCTCATCTTCCCTCCTCTGCTGATCGGGTCTCGGACTTGAGCCGGACAAACTCCTTGGCGACGTCGTCGTTGGAGCGCTGGGAGAGGATCCGCATGGCGGTCAGGCCCGTGTCGTCCATGGAGATGCGCTGCCCAGGGGGCACCAGCAGGCGCAGTTGCCCCTCTCCATGATGTCCCTCAGCTGCACCACGGCCAGGCCCACCACCCGGTCGGCGCGGCCGAAGCAGTAGTCCTTGACGCAGGCTTGAACCTCGTAGCACTCGAACCCGTCCTGAACACCCAGAACGCTGCAGAGCGAGAGCAGAACACAGGAGTGGGAGCACATGGGCTAGGGCGCTAATTGCAGAGCTAATTCCTGATTTTGTGCTTTTTCTGAAACTTTAAAAACATTCGTACACCTAGCTTTTGATGATCTAATTTTACATTTTAAATCAAAACATTTTACTTTGATTTGAGGTCCACACCTGCAGTGGTAGATTACACTATTGCTAATCTGCTAATCTGCTAATAGCAGAGCAAATTTGTTGTGCAACACATTTTGATTCCCCTAAATCAGTTTTCGAGTTAAATTCTAAAGCACTAATGTACTTTTGCTGTTTTCTACACTTTCAGTTGAATAAAGTTTGACATCTGCAGTAGAAGGAACACTTCCATTAAGCTGCTAATGTGCTAATAGTAGAGCTAATTTTAGCTTTTTTTAAATAACTTTTAAAACTATTGCCACACAATTATTTTCTTAAAATAAATCCAGATTTTATTTGGAAAAGTTAAATTTGAGGAACTTCACTAAATGTTTAGCAGAAACACTAAATGAACAATTAGCTGTGCTGCTAGCGCATTAGCTGACATTGTCCAGTAATTTCACAAGGACTTTGTTTTGTGTAACCAACAGTTTATGAAGTCAGAATTAAAAGAGCTTCAAATCCTAAATGTGTCACGACGTTTGATTTTGAACTTACAAGTGAAAGGTCTCGTTGTATTTGGGAGACCAGCTGTTGTTCTTGGATTTGGTCTGAAATCGGCGCTTCTTGTCGCTGAGGTGCGGCCCGATCATCGTGACTTCCACGAAGGGTCTGAACATCCCAGACGTCTGCCACTTCAAATCACTGGCTGCAATCACTGCATCAATGACACAAACATTTAAACAGAAATGACACTAAAATGCTGCAGTTTTGATTTTATTGCTTCAAAATGAGCCCAAACGGACCTTTGAGAGTAACTTTCCGCTCTCTGCTCTTGGGATGAGTGTACAGCTCAATCTGCAGGGAAACCTCTCCGATGGGTTTGTCCACACCTGAGCCTGGTTTAACACAAACAACATTTGGTCCAATGCAGGCAAAGAAAACCACGTTTTATAGAGTCATGCGACGGAAACGCAGGTTTCACAAAACAGAAGAGAGAAAACGATGAAGGGAAGTTGGGCTGATGATGATTTCATGGAGACCTACCCCTGCTGGGCTGGATTTTCTCATTAGGGGTTAACCTAATACCCTTCCCATTGTGCACTGGCACAGAGGCAGCAGGAGATAAAAACAAGACAGCAACTTAAACAACCAAATCCAGGAGATAAAAGCAGCGAGGAATCTGAAACTCTCCCGTATTTAATCTCCTTGGAGGCGTTTTGGATCTACCCTGTGAATGCTGCGTGGTCACGAAGGTTTTGATGAGCGTGTCGGTGGTCTGGGTGTAGAGCGACAGAGCGTGGCGGAGCGACGAAAGCTCAGCGCTCTTCTCCAGGAAAGTCTTCTTCAAGCCGTTCCCGCCCGCATGAAAGTATTGCTGCGTAGGAAACAAAACGAGAGGAATCAGGTTCTACAACCTGAATGATTAAACTTAAAGTGGAGTTAATCAGACTTTTAGTTAATCAACTAAAAGACTCTTAAAATGTGAATGAATTGTACTTTTCTGTTTGACCAGAGGTCAACGTTTCGCTCTCACCTTGATGGTATCCAGAGCCACATCCATGACGGCACACTGCCTGGGCGTCAGGCTTTTAGCGTCTCCTGCCATGTGATCCTAAACAACCCAAACCAAGACTTTGACTAGACCAATTCACAGGAGAAAGCAAACTCAAAGGCAACCTGATACCTTCAGTTTGGAAAGGTGTCCCAGTTCTTTAGCAGCAGAAAGGATCTGTGCTCCCTTCAGGAAAAACAGAAAAATGAATGATTCTTTTAGTTTCAGAAGCCTTGTTTCAATTTTAAGTATCATATTAGTAAAGTTTGATGGAAATGGAAAAAAAGCATCGATACAACTCATGTTTATACATAAAGTGAGTTATTTATCTACTCTATATGTGATTGGATGATGTTCAGTTTGTTGACTCATAATTAAACTGAATATGCCACAGTCATCATTTTAAAACATAATGGATAAAAATATTTTTTGTGTTTGGTCACGTCTGTCAAAATGTTTACATCTCATCATCTGACACAATTACGAGTTGATCCATTTCAAAATGGCAGCCATGTTTCCATCCAGCTGTGATTCAAATTTTGAGCAAATTTTTATAATAATGTATAAAAGAAAATGTAAATTACAATGCAAAACCATAAACTCTTACCAAGTATTTTTGCTCTAGTTTCTAGTGCAAATTTGACTAATGTGAATTACAACATTTAACTTTCTTTTGGGATCAATAAAGTATTTTTGAATTTGAATTTTAAAATATCTCAGCACCTTTTAAATAAGACAAAAATAACTTAGTAGTAACTTATCAGAAGAAGAAGCTTGTTTTAAGTAGATAATTCCTTAATATTGATTTAAAAAAAAGTAGTTGGCAGATTATTTAATTTAAGGGAAAATGATTTGTTATAAGTGAAATAATCCGTCCTACACAAAATAAGTTCATTACATTTATTTTGCACAAAATTGATATATAATAAGATTTTAGTCTGGTTATTATATATCTTATAATATTGCAAAAATATCTTGATTTAGGTGAAATAATCAAATTTTGTCAGCAATATTAAGAAATTATTGACTTAAAACAAGTTTCTAAGATAGTTTCATTAACAACTAGATCAAAAACATTTGGTAAGGTTGTGTTTTTGTTATGTAATTCCCACTTTTGACAATATTTCAAAACCATCTGGATGGAAACCTGTCCAGTGACGGAGACGAGCGTCAGACTCACCAAGGTGTCGTTCCTTGCGGCAGGACGATTTCTTCTCCAGGCTGGTCATCACGATCCTCCACAGCTCCTTCAGAACGCGCTTCAGGACGGTTTTCTCACACACCGTGGCGAACAGCGTTAATCTGCAAAAACAAGACGTTCACACACACGCCGACGGACGAGCCGTGTTTGGGGAAATCCCACTGAACCCACTGAGCATCCAGGAAGTCCATGAGCGGCCGCAGCATGTTGTCCGAGTCGCCCTCCACCTGGTTCTTGGTGTTTTGAGCGGTCCTTTGATCTGGTACAGCAGCGACGCCATCTGCCGCATGCAGTCGGTGATGCGGCTCTGGAAGCTGCAGGAGAAGAAAAGCCAGTGATGCACTGGACAAAGTGGGGGAAACGTGGGGGTGTGAGGGCGGCGTACCTGTTCCCAAACGTGCTGCTGAGGTCCAGAACGTTGTTGAGCCGAACCTGCAGGTCGTTGAGCAGGTCGCTGGCCTCCGTCCATCTGGAGGAGAGAAACCTTCAAGTTCAAAAGGCTGACAAAGGTTTTAGAGAAAGAAAAGGGAAATAAAACTGGGAAGTTTTGGGATTTTACTGAGACTCAGAACCTGGAAGCTAAATTACTTCTAAAGCTGAATTATTACAAAACACCTGAGAGTCTACGGTTGCATTACCAGTCCGTTAAACACCTTGTTGGTGTAGTTTGCATTTCTACTCATAATAACATGCATGTTACAGTTCACCTCCTGTAACACGCATGAACTCACCTCATGATCCTCACATGCATTTCTCTCTATGTGGCAGAAAGTTGGGAGGTAAAACAAGACATTTTGGATGAAATGCCCATTTTGACACTCATCAAGTGGAAATTGCTTATTAAGGATCTAATTTAGGATGTTCTGCTTGTGCCTACCTTCTCAAACGGTCCGTCCATCTTTGTGTCAGAAAATTGTTAGAGATATAAAAAAACACAAAAAGTGTCAAACTGTCCTGAAGAGGTGGAGGAGCTGTATAAATCCAAATGATTTCTGGACTTTTTGGTGAATATTAAGGTGATTTAATCCCAGATAACATGTTTAACCCACCTCATCCTTCTCAGTCTATCACACATGGTTTAGAAAAGGAACAAAATAAAGTGTTAAAATGAAAAAATAAAGTTGAAGGTGACGTGAAAGTGGCGCTTTTATGGGAAATAGGGAAAATGCTGCTAATCTAAAGAGGAAATCCTCACAGATGAGAATAAAACCAGACAACAAAACTCCACCATGTTGGATGTTTTCGTTTCAGTTTGGGGAAAATCTTTGGAAATGACTTTGGATTTGGAGAATGAAGGATGTTAAAAACCACTTTCAACTGCAACAAACCTCTGCCTCCATTTCCTCCCTTCCTCTTTAACTTCCTCCTCTTCCTCACTTCCTTCAAACTAGGAGTTGCAGTAAAGAGGCAACAAAGGTTTTGTCTTGTTGCTTCCATTCAGATAATTGTGCAGTGGTTTTTAAAAGTTATTTTTAAGGCGTATATGCAGTCATGTTTTACATGTTTGCATATGCAGTGGACTTGCCTGCCATGCTAGCGCGCTGTTCTTCAGCTAGAAAAGCAGAGAAAAGGTAGAGAATGTCTTTCTCCAGCCACAATTACAAGAACTGACTTTATATTGAGTTAAAACATGGATACTATCAGAGAAAAAAAATATTACCATTTATTTTGGTCTAGTTTATTGTTCAAGTACATTTGGACACTTAAAATAAGACAAAACTAATTTACAAGTAACTTTTTAGAAAGATATATGAGCTTGGAGGGAGTTTGAGACGCATTATGTCTTAGAATATTCTTCTTAAAAGGAAAACCTGCAGATTTGTCTGCACAAAAACTTTTGAATTTCATATTAAAATGTTAATTTAACAGAGTGATTCGTATTTTCCCAGGCAGGCTTAATTTTCTTTTATATGATTTCAACATGGTGCATTTCCTAACAGTCAATAACAAATCAAATTGATATGATGTCAAAACTGGAATCTATCACTAATTTGAACACTTGACCCTCAACATCAATGTTGGAGAAACATTATCGTCATTGATATTGCAATAACAGCAATAGTGTTACAACAACACTATTAAATAATAGTGTTGTTGTAATTTCAAGGCTGCTGTTTCTCTGTCAGATTCCCTCAGGTCTCCACAGCAGAGAGATGGATCACGGCGCTCTTCCTCCACCTCCTCGCCGCGCCCCATCCTCATCCTCCACCACCTCCACCGAGTTCTGATGGGTCGGTTCAGATCCTCTCTGGAGATCAGACACCAGAACGGAGGCGGATCAGAACCAAAGCCAGCAGCTCTGCTGAAGCTCAGGAGAACTCTGAGTCCAGATGTGGACTGGTCTCCTCCAGAGCCTCCTCTGTTCTGCTGTGGAGGAACTGTGTGGCTCCAGCAGCAGGACCTTCTCAGCTGCAGCAGAAGAAGAAAGGACTTCCTGTGTTCAGGTTGGAGAGAAACCTGGATATTTTCTAGTGTGGTTCTGCTTCCAGCGTAGATGTTCTCCAGGGTTCTGATCTGGATCTAGTGGACTGTAGAGCTCATCAGGTTTCCTCTCATCCACTTTGAGATCTTCAGCCTCCTTTAGATTCAACCTGAAGCTTCTTCTGACAGATTAGCTGCAGCTAATATTTAGCATGATGTTATTATTCTGGCCTCAGTTTTCTGTTCTTCATGTGACTCCACTGAATCCAACTCTGATGTCGTCCACTTCACAAGTGATGAAGATCCATTTTTCTTTCACTTCCTGCTGATTTCTTTCCAAAGCTCCATTTGTTCCAGGAGGATCTTCAATGTTCTCTTTAGATGATGAAGGAACTCAGACTGACTCCACCCGGTGGTGCTCCAGGTGAGCAGAAACAAACAAACCCTGAAGTCATCTCTGCAGACCAGCTTTAGATTTGGACCAACTGAACATCAAGCTTCAGTAACGTCTCAGTTAAAGTTTGTTTCCAGATCTGAGATCAGAAAGTTCTGAACAAACTGGTTGCTCTCCAGTTTGATGATGTTTCCAACCTGAATGTTCATCCATATTTCTTCCCTCAGCCTGGAAAGAAAATCCTCTAAATTATCTGGCTTGATAAAAAACTGTTTTATTAGTAAAATCTTGGAATCTTGACTCACTCTTTGTGTATCAGGACTTTCACCTTGCAGTTATTCACCTGAAATGAAGAGGAATTGTTTTTGGGTCTGAGAATAAAATGTTTTTGTAAGGATCATGTAATCACATCCTGGAAAGTCCTTCAGAGTTATCTTTGCTCTAAATAAAAACCCAAAACCTCTCCCTTTTTAACAGAGATCAATAACCAAACACTCTGATCTTTGCTTAATCTGCCAGTTGACAAATATAAATGAACATCGCTTCAAAAATGTGTATTTTATTACTCTGAGTGGGAAAGTGTTTCTGAAATGGAGCAGGAAATACATTTCATAACAGCTGATTTGCATGTGATCAAGACAAGAAGGCAGCGGTCAACACACACACACCAGTGGTGTGTTCACACACACTCTGCAGAACTTTGTGTTCATCAGGAGGTCGATTGTTTCAGGTTTGAGCTAAAACAGAAGCAGCAGCACTTCCTCTACAGGAGAAAACACACGAGGTCATGAGGTCAAGCTTTGTGACAGTAAATAAAAACATGAATAATCTCTTGGTTTGCCAATTATAATAAAACATGATATTTATGTTATGAACAATTAAATAATTTTAGCTTGGATTGGCTCTGAACACATCATAAATCACTGATTCATTATAAAAACTTTGACTAGACTCAGAGTAGACTTATGTAAATATACATGATGAAGTATTTAATTCAGCATTTCACTGTAAATATAATTAAAGTGTAGATACAGGGATAAAGATTAGCATGCTAACCCCTCAGGTTTCCCATCAGCCACTTGGGTTTCAGGATGACCAACATTTTTAAACATGGCTGCTAATTTTGAGCCTTTTAAACCAGATATGGACATTAAATGTTCCCTGTTAGAGATTCAGGTTTTAACTTGGATCTTTGTCAGTAAATTTGATTTAATTATTGGAATAATAATAAAAAAAATTGACAAGGAATAAACTAAAAATTAGGTTTTTGGAGGTGAAATGATTAATTGTTGAATAAAAATGAAAATTAATCATGTAGGATTAATTAGATTATTTTATTGTGAAATTTGAAACTGTTACAATTTTACAAAATATCCTTATAAAATCAACAAGTAACTTATTTTAATTGATCATTTTAGAAACAAAACTTATTTTTAAAGGAATAACATTAAGAGACTGGTGTTTTTAGAATTTGTTATATTTAATGAATAATTACTGGGTATAGCCAGTGAAAACCACTAATTTATTTATATTTTTACAGATTGATTGGATCAATCTAAAGATGATTGGTCTTAGAATCAATAACGATTAATTGATCAGTGGCAACTCTCTTAAAAATAGTTTTCTCCTGTATAAAGAGAGCTAACCATCTTTCATAAATGAAGGAATTTAGAAAAAAAACACATTACATTTGTACTTTCACTTTGTGTAAAGAGTATTAAGTACTAATTGAATTCATAGAAAAACATGCAGTTTTTCATGTTATTGAACGTAGGCAGCCTTCAAAATGAGCGGTCCTTATTTTTCTGTGATGCTTCCAGTCTCTGCGTTGTCCTGTTTCCCCTTGATTGTTCCCAGGTGTTTCTCGTTTCTGTGATTACCATCTGTGTATTTAATCCCACGGTTGTCCTTTGTTCCTCATCGGGTCCTCATCGTTCTTCACATCATTTTGTCAAGCCTGTTCTTCTGTCCACCAGGATGAACAGTTGCTACCGGCGTTGAGCCCTGGCTTCAGCTCAGCCATGCTGCCTGTTTTTGTGTTTCCACTTGGACTATTTTTACTATTAAAACCATCATTTAACTATATCCTGGGTTTTCTGCCTGCTGCATCACCACAGTATACCAGCATCTCTTGATAGAGTGAAGCTATGACAAGAAAACAAACTGAAAAACATGTGGATCCTGGAATTATCCTGGAATAATCCTGGAATAATCCTGGAAAAATCCCAGCTTCCATCTTAAAGGGACTAGAAGAAGAAAAAGTTTCCAAGGACTCAATCAGAATCGTTTCACCAAGAAATAGATTGTAGAGACTGAACTATCTGTTCAACAGTGAGAGAGTTTCTCTGACAAGGAAAAACTTTAGACTCTTTAGACTCAAATCAGCTCAGAAACACTGAAGAACCAGAACTGAACCACAAGAACCCAAATCCAGGAATCAGAGGTTCAGTGAATGTGGTGTTGAAGGTGTGGAGGAGGATCAGTGAGTCAGAGGAGACTCTGTAGAAGGACAGAATGCCAGCAGGACAGTCCACATACACTGCTACTCTGTTAGAGACAGAGGAGGAGGAGAGACGAGTTTCTATGTTATTGTGCCTGACAGAGTAACCATGACGATCAGAGCAGATCAGACTCCAGGAATGATCATTACATCCAAACCAACAGTCTTCACTGAATCCTTTCCTCCTGATTCTTCTGTAACTCACTGATATATCAACATCTCCTCTCCACTCAACCTCCCAGTAACAGCGACCAGTCAGACCAGTTCTACACAGCAGCTGATAGCAGTTATCAAATCTGTCTGGATGATCAGGATATGACTGATGCTCCTCCACATGTGTCACCTTCCTGTTGTCTTCAGACAGTTTGAGTTTCTGTTCACTGTGTTTGTGTCGATGGTGAGTTGACAGGAATCTGATGGAGAACAAACACAATCCAGCTGCAGTTATTGATCATTTATTGACACTTTGACTCCTGAATGAGTGATGTGACAGTTTGAAGATGGTTGAATGTGAGCTGCTTTGTTGTCATGAATCAGATGAAAAAACACTTACATCTCCATAGACCTGGAGTCAAGAATCGGC